ATTTTCCAACTCCATGTCTTTGAACATTTAATTACAATAATTGACTTTGTCCTCTCAAGCTGCTCTTTGAAATCTTCTGTTCAGCTCTTTTGTCATTTCTTCCATTTGCTTTAGCTACCCTTCATTCAAGGGCAAGTTTCAGAGCCTCTTCTGACATTCATCTGGTCTTTTCTTCCTTTCCTGTGTTTTTAATGACCTTTTGCTTTCTTCATGGATGATGTTCTTGATGTCATCTGACACTTCCTTTGGTTTTTGGTCATTGGTATTGAATGCATCAAATCTATTCTTTAGATGGTCCCTAAATTCAGGAAGGATATATTCAAGGTCGTATTTTGGCTCTTGTGGACTTGTTTTAATTGTCTTCAACTGGAATTTACATATGAGCAGTTGATGGTCTGTTCAACAATCAACTCCTACCCTGGTTTTGGCTGAAGATACTGAGCTTTTCCATCACCTCTTGCCACAGACGTAGTCAAACTGATGCCTGTTTACTCTATCTGGTGAAGTCCTCATGCATAGCTGCTGTTTGTGTTGTTCAAAAATGTATTTGCAATGAATAAATCATTGGTCTTGCAAAATTCTATCATGTGATCTCCAGTGTTATTTCTATCTCCAAGGCCATACTGGTGATTCTTCTTTGTTTCCAACTTTTGCATTCCAATCATCATTGATAATCAGCACATGTTGATTGCATGTTCAGTCCATTTCACACTGCAGAAGTTGGTAAAAATCTTCAATTTCCTCATCTTTGGCTTTGGTGGTTGGTGTATAAATTTGAATAATAGTAGTATTAATTAAACTTCCTTGTAAATTCACTGCCATTGAGTCAATCCCAACTCAGAGTGACCCCTCCTTGGTTTCCAAGGCAATATTTCTAAGGAAGTAGATTGCCCAATCATCCTTCCAAGGAGTGGCCTGTGGGTTTGAACTGCCAGCCTTCTGGTTAGCAGTCAAGTGCCTTAGGCACTATGCTACCAGAGCTCCTGGACTTCCTTGTAGGTGTATGGATATTATCCTATCACTGACAGCATTGTACTTCAGGATAGATCTTGAAACATTCTTTGTGATGATGAATGCCACACCATTCCTCTGTAATTTGTCATTCTTGGCATAGTAGATCATATAGTTATCTGATTCAACATGGCCAAAACCGGGTCCATTGCAGCTCATTTAACCAGTATTTCACCTCACTAATGCCTAGGATATCAATCTTTATGTGTTCGATTTCATTTTTGCAACTTCCAATTTTCCTTGATTCATACTTCATGCGTTCCATGTTCCGATTATGAATGGATGTTTGCAGATGTTTCTTCTCATTTTGAGTTGTGCCACAACAGCGAATGGAGGTCCCAAAAGCTCTACTTTATCCATATCATTTTCCCTAGTGGGGAAAACCTATACATAGGGAACTTGGCTCCTAATACATGACTTTAGTAAGATGGATGCCACTTTCATACTATATTTAAGAGTTATGTCATCATTTTAAGCTTCTTACAATAAGCCCATGTCTTATTAATTTTCTATTCAAATACTCAGCACTATCCTTGGCATTTTGTTGTTGTTATTTTTGGTGCCGTTGAGTCAGTTCCAACTCAGAATGAAACATTGCCCTGTTCTGCAACTGCTTCACAATCTTTGGTATACTTGAGCTCGTCCTTGTATCCACTGTGTCATTCCATCTCCTTGAGGGTCTTCTCTGATGCTCTACTTAACCAAGCATGATATCCTTCTCCAGGGAATGGTCCCTTCTGACAATATGACCAAAGCATGTGAGACCAAGTTTGGCCATTCACACTTTTAAGGAGCATCCCAGCTGTACTTCTTTCAAAATACATTTGTTAGTTCTTCTGGCAGTCCATGGTGTTTTCACTACTCTTCACCAATACCACAATTCAAATGCATCAATTCTTTATTTTCCTTATCCATTGTCCAGCTTTCACATGCATATGAAACTATTGGAAATACCATGGCTTGGATCAGGCTCATCTTTGTCTTGCAAGTGACACCTTTGATCTTTAACACTTTAAAATAGTCTTTTGTAGCAGATTTGCCCAGCACAATATGACATCTGATTTCTTGACTACAGTTTCCATGGGCATTGATTGTGGATCCAAGTGAAATGAAATCCTTGACAACTTCAATCTTTTCTCCATTTATCATGGTGTTACTGGTCCAGTTGTGAGGATTTTTGTTTTCTTCATGCTGAGGTGTAACTCATACTACAGGTTGTAGTCTTTGATCTTCATAAGTAAGTACTTCAAGTCATCTTCACTTTCAGCAAGCAAAGTTGTGTCATCTGCATTTTATAGGTTGTTAATAAGTCTTCCGCCAATCCTCCTGATACCGTGTTCTTCATATTGTCTACCTTCTGGGATTATTTTCTCAGCATACAGATTGAATAAGTATCGTGAAAGGGTACAATTCTGACACACACCTTTCTTGATTTTAAACCATGCTGTATTTCCTTGTTCTGTTTGAACAACAGCCTCTCGGTCTATGTACAGGTTCCTTATGAGCACAGTTAAGTGTTTCGTAATTCCATTTCTTTGAAATGTTATCTATGATTTGTTATGATTCACATATTTGAATATTTTTGCAGAATCAATACAATAGAGATAAATATCTTTCTGGTAACGTTTGCTTTCAGCCAACATCCAGTTGACATCAGCAATGATATCCCTGGTTCCCCATCCTTTTCTGAATCTGGCTTGAATTTCTAGCAATTCCCTGTTGATGTACTGCTTGAACTGTTTTCAAATTATCTTCAGCAAAATTAGCTTATATATGATATTAATGATATTGTTCGATAATTTCCACATTCTGTTGGAACACCCTTCTTCAGAATGGCCACTAATATCGATCCCTTCTAGTCAGTTGGCCTGATAGCCGTCATCTCGATTTCTTGGCATAAATGACTGAGCATCTCCAATACTATATTCATTTGCTGAAACATCTCAATGTGCATTCCTTCAATTCCTGGAAACTTCAGTGCCTTCAGTGCAGCTTGGACTTCATCCTTCAATACCATTGGTTGTTGAACATATGTTAGCTCCTGAAATGGCTGAATGTTGATCAATTCTTTTTGGTATAGTGACTCTGTGTAGTCCTTATATATTGTTTAGATGCTTCATGCATTGTTCAATATTTTGTCCATAGAATCCTTCAATACTGCAACTTGAAGCTTGAATTTTTTCTTCAGTTCTTTCAGTATGAGAAATGTCAAGTGTATTCCATTTTGATTTCCCATGTCCATGTCTTTGCACATTTCATTATAATACTTTCCTTTGTCCTCTTGGGCTGCTCTTTGAAATCTTCTGTTTAGCTCTTTTATTTCATCATTTTTTCCATTTGCTTTAGTTACTCTCTATTCAAGTGTTTGGCATACCAAAAAATCAAACTGACTGCTGTCAAGTCAATTCCGACTCATAGCAACCCCTTCTTGGGTTTCTGAGGTGGTATCTCTATGGAAGTAGTGCGCCCAGTCTTCCTTCCAAGGCATGGCTGGTGGGTTTGAACTGCCAGCCTTCTGGTTAATAGTCAAATGTCTTAGACACTATGCCACCAGAGCACTAAATAAATGCTTGTACTTTGGAGAGTTTAATGAATATATTCTTTTCCTTTGATAAGAAAAATGATTGGGGAACTGAAAAAATTTACTGTCCACTACAGGACACTAAAGTTAATTAATCACATAATTTATTTTTTAATCCATTAGGCCCAGTTTCAACCTTCTTTCAGACTCAGTTCTGACGTGAGAAGGCATTTTCTGTAACAGTCCTAGTTAGTCTTTTGATTTCATTGTAATTCAGCCACAATCCTTTTGTCCACATTGTTGTTGTTAGTTGCTGTTTAGTCAGCTTCAACTTATTACAACCCCATGTGGGTAGAATAGAAGTACTCTATGACTTTTCAAGGTTGTGACCTTTCAGAAGCAGATCACCAGCTTGATTCCCCAAGTGCCTCTGTGTGGGTTTGAAATGTCAGCCTTTCTGTTAGTAGTCAAAAGCTTAACCATTTGCACCACCTAAAGGCTCTTGTCCTCAGTAACCCCCTTTCTGCTACCTTGTACAATTGTATACAAGAGAGATACGCTAAAGAATCATATTTACCAACAGCTCTCTCTAGATAGTAAATCTGACCTAATAGAGATCTTTCCACATTTTGATAATCCTTAGAAGTGAAAGACCATAATAGAACCATTGGGTAAGGTGTTGAATAGAACAGCAATTATACTGCATGTGGTAGAAAATTGTATATACAGTAACATATCAAGCACATGCCCATATTTATGCATATAAATAAGATCAGAAGAAAATGCAAATTGTGGCTTTTGAAAGATGGTAGAATAAAGAAAAATTTTAAAATATATTTTATTCATAGTTTTCTATTTTTTTTCAGATTATCATAGTGAATAATATATCTTGCAGGAAAAGAAATTGAATATTATGAAGCACAACCCCTCCTCAAAATTTCAGGCATGAGGAAAGGGGATAAGACTAGTTATCTTGAAACTAGCATGAAATACACTTGAACAGGGCCTGACTTACCTCTCCCATGCCCTGTGCTCCCTTCCCTTCACCCCTGTGGTCAGAGTCCCAGGACATTCCCCTAACATTATTGGCCCTCGTACTATGAGGATCACTTAGCCACGTGTTATCTTGCATATTATTTGAACTATGTGAGAGCAGGCATGTAGCAACATCTTTAAGGAGAGGCTTTTCTTCTTCCACATTTCAATTTTTGATCTTGCATTTTCCTATCTCTATGGAGCCCTGAATCTTCTCCCATGTTATTTTTATTCATCTGTGTAGGGAGGAAAAAAAAAAAGTCAATCCGGGCTTCTGGCATGTCAGCTTTTCATAAAGGAAACGCAAAGCAGAGCTCCCTACAGGCCTCATAAAACACAGGATTTATGTGAGACCTTTCATCCACATTCATTTAAAATGCTCCCTGCTAGGCAACTGAGAATGCATGAAAATCATCATTTGAAAAGGCCTTACTTTAAGGACTGGATACAGTGGCTCAAATGCTGCTTCAGCTCTTCTTCCTTTTCATAGGACTCCAGTACACTGTGCGCTTCATCATGATGATAACAGTAGATTTTATAAATATCTTCCAGCGGACCTTTAATCTGCAAGAATACTTCTCCTGAAAAATGTAAAACAAAAGCAAAACGACATAAAGTCAGACCAGTCTGGCACCTCACATGTTTATTGTTCAACAATGTTGAATAATAAACTGTTAAAAAAAATGAAGAGTGTTAAAAAGTTGGTTGGGTCTTGCTTTATTCAGAAGAGATGGAAGACTTTGAGTGATTTTTTTTTCTCTTTCCCTTCCTTCTTCCTGTCTCTTCCTTCCTCCTTCCCTCCTTACTCTTTCTCTCCCTCTCTCTCCTTTTCTTTTTTCCTTTCTCTCTCCCTCTCTTTCTTTCTTTCTGTCTCTCTTCTTGCCCCCTTCCTCCCCCCCTTCCTCTCTTTCTTCCATCCTTCCTTTTATAAAGCAAAGCACAAAGAGAGTAAGGGGAATAGGTGGCAAAAGAATTCTTTTTTTTTTTTTTTTTCTCAAAGGTGATGTTATTAGCTTGGTTAGTGTATAGGAGTGTTAAGCTCACACACTTCAGAGTTAGTTTGTAGGAGTTTGAATCAGGCTGTTGGTTTTGTGACTTGGGAACTCTTTCCTAGTACTGTTTCTATTTTACAGAGAAATAATAGACCCAACTTCATAGGATCATTATAAAAATTAAAAGAGGTATTGCGTAAAATTCAGAGAACAGTGCTTATATTAAAATGAGTATTTAATTTATTAGCTATAATTGCTAATTAATTTATTAGCAATATGGGATGTGAAATTTCAAGTGTTTGGCAAATTACTTGTCAGTATTTGTTCTACTAACATTTCCTGATATTCTCTGAAACATAAGCAACAGAATTTAGAGAAATAAAATATTTCCTTATATGTGATCATAAAGAGAACAGGGCCATTTTTTCTATGAAAAATCAGTTGGATAATGCCATGAACCAAGTTTATGACTATATGTGCATAAAATAGCTTGGACTAACTGTATCCAGAAATCTAACAAATACTTTTTATTATCATGAACAAACTGAATCTATAAGTAGGAGATCAAGTAGATATTAGACAATAGTTTGATTTAATTACCCATGCCATTATTTAAAAATATGCTCCAAGGATCTACTACCTAATCTCAGAAAAAAGACTTGGAAATCTACTTCCAAAAAAATCAGTCACAAAGCCATTTTACTCTGAAAACATGGGGTCACCAAGAGTCAGAGTCAACTTGGTGACAACTGTATCTTTTTCCACAACCCAGCACCACATTAGATGACTGGGAAGACACAGAAGATACATGTGCTAGGGTCTGCTCTCAAAACTGTTACAAATGTGAGATTGATAAAGATTTAGGGGCTGAACTCATTGGGATGGCTAAATTGATCTGCAGTGATCAGGATCAATTTATTATTTTAGTAATAGGAGTAAATCATTCTCCTACAGAAATAGTCACGCCCTTAACATTTTCAACATGTTTTGCACACATTGACTGCATATCTCTCTATACTTGTGAGGAGCTAAGAGATTTTTTTTTTTTTTTTTACATCATATCAAGGATGGACAAATCTGCATTTGAGACAATAAATCATTTTTCCAATGTCTTGCCAGGAGATGGCAAAGCCAGGTTTAGAGGCCATATTCTTCTCATTTGATTCTTATGTCTTAGCCTGCTACACTTCAGACTTTTGCTGGGCAATGCACAAGGGGATCCATTTGGAAAGAATGCTGAACTCAGAAACCCCTATTCTACAGGGATTGTGTTGTTACATTGGTTGTTGTTGTTATGTGCCGTCGAGTTGGACCCAACTCATAGTGACCCCTCTTTGGGTTTCCGAGGCAGTATCACTACGGAAGTAGATTGCCCCATCTTCCTTCTGAGGAGTAGCTGGTGGGTTTGAACTCCCACCCTTCTGATTAGCGGTCAAGTGCCTTAGGCACTTGCAGTGTAGTAAATTACTTAGTGTGGCTTTTCTACCCATAAGTCTTTGTAAACTCCAAGGTAGGATTTTCTACGAGCAACTGAGGAGCTCCTGATTGCTGAAGTTGTCCACCTGGAGTATTTCTGTTGGGTGTGGCACAAAACAATGTTCTGGGAGGTGCCCACTCTCTCTCAGGTGCTTAGAGTTCTGATGCTATGATTGGCTAGTTTGGCCACTCTGCCGGGCTCAAAAGGA